TTGAAAATTTTTAATTAAAAAAATTTAAAAATCTTGCCATCTCCTTCATCTTACCTTTAAGCTCTTAAAGTGCTTAGAATCAATGCAATTTACTGCTAAATTATTTTCTGCTTGGGTCTTTTACTATTGTCTGTTGGGTCTTTTACTATTGTCTGTTCGTTAATTTTGCCTCTCCAACTCAAGTGTAACTTTCTTGAGGGCAGAGAATGACACATTTTAGTACCATTTCTCACCACTCCCCCCCCGCCCCCCGCATGTCTGTTATAGTTTCACATAAATTAAGTGCATTAATTGATTAAAATGAGCTAGGGGTAACTGCATATATTATGACAGCCTATCCCAAATATGTAATATTTATCAATGAGGACAGTCCTAAAAGAGCTTCTTGGCATGGATAGGCTTCCTTTGACAGACAGGAAAACCCAGCCTCAAGCAGAAGCTGCGACCATAGGATTTAGGCTGAGAAGATGTCCTAAGTTGAACCCTGGCCTTTAGGGCCAACTCAAGAGAGGTCATTAGAATTGGGTGGAGTTCAGGGTACATTGCCCAGAATAGGATGCGTGATAGTCCCTGGGGCCAGAAAGAGGGGAGTCTGTGTTTCTGAGGGGAAATCCAGACTACAGTTCTATCAGGTGAGGACTACTCCAGGTGCCTGCCTCCCAGACGGACATTCTCCTCAAGAAATAATGGGATGTGTGGACTCTGGGGCAAGATGGCCAGCAACAGCAGAGCAGCAACAAGTCAGGGTGTGTGTGTGGAGTAGCCCTATTTGTCCTTTTTGGTAGAAGTCACACTCTAGGATACCTGATGGCATCAGAGTGTCACATGGGTCACAGCAGCAGTGGCTGAGACTGGCAAAAGCCAGGAACTCTGCAGGACCAGAGAGGTGCCAGAGAATCTGACAACGTTCTTTTTTGTCCAGTTTAGTAGTAACTAACACTTTCCCAAAATTGACACCAAGAGTAAACAGCAACCTTCTCTAGGAGGAATTGTCACAATTTGCTGATTTCTAAATCGATGCCATCACCTCTCCCTTAGCCTATTCCTCTCCCTACGTCCCTCTCTCTATCCCCCTAATCAAGTCAGAGTGAATCTGCATTTGCTTTGGAAGCTTGGATCACACTTGAGTTCAGGGGCATTTCTCCAGGCTTCCTGCTTCTCTATTCTGTATCTGTCCAAGAAGGTAGAGCAGGGGCTGGAAGAGGTGACGGTGAGCCAGCAGCCACTTGGGCCCGCAAAGTCCCTTTTCTTGCATTCCCAGCAAACGGTGGTAATGTCAGCTGCACGAAAATTTTGCTTCTCCTTAGCCCTGTCTTCAAATTTTTCCTTTGAAGAACATTCTCCATGAGAGAAGGAAAGAGGGACACCATACAGACTTACTCCAGGGCGCCACTGTTGCTTGAGTTTGGACTAGAATTTAATATCCCCTCCAACTTGAAAGAACCCGAAATGTGTATGTGCGAACCAGGTGTCACCCGGGATTTTCCTGTCCCTTACCATTTACTTAAGGAGTGAGTCATTGGTGTTGCCCAGCTCCACAGGGGTGTGTTGGGGGAGGGCGTCGGACTTCAAAGTCTGCCATTTTGGAAAGAAAATAAGAAAGGAAGGGGGGTGGGGAGGAAGGCAGGCGGCAAGGAAGGGACTTGCGTGTGTAGCATTGGCGGAAGGGGGAGACGTCTGTGCCAGTTAGGGGGTGGGGGTGTTTGTCCGGCCTCAGCCCGCAGCTTCAGTTCTGCCCACGGGGCACAGCCAAGTCCCGGAGTCTCCAGGCTGCGCGGCTTCCTCCCATCTCTCCTCTCCACTTCCTGCCTCCACGTTGTTTCAGAACTCCAACTTCTTACCCGGATCCCCGAAGTCATTCAGCTACGCCTCACAGCTCTCTCGGTTATTCCCAAATTCACCCTGACAGCCACATTCGCCTGTGGAAATCCACTCTCCGGTAATAAGTCGCCTCGTATGGCCAGACCTTCGAGAGCAGTTGCCGCCAGGAACTGCAATTCCCCGGTCTGCTTACAAACTTTTGCCAATTCCTTCGTTGGTAAGCAAATTTTAAAAGCAAAGCGGGTGACGGTTTCCACCCCAGCTTGGACGAGGCCTCGTGAGCGTCCGGAGCTCGCTCGGCGGCGGGCCGCGTTGGGCCGACGGCGCTGCCCTTCAGGACCCCGCGCACCGGGCCAGGGCCCGCACCGCGCCTGGCTCCCGAGATAGAGGTCCCGTCGTGGTTTTCCGCGCCGGGGCCCGCGCCTGCGGCTTTCCCGCCTCCCGGGGCGTCCCGAGGCTGGCGCGTGGGCGGGGCGGGCGGCATTTAAGGCGGGCACCGCCTCCCGGCGGCAGCGGCTGGCGCTCGGCCGCGGGAGGTGCGCCTCGGGACCGCGCTGCTGCCGCCAGAGCCCGACGGGACCCCAGCCCTGCGCGCGCCGCCGCCGCTGCCAGAGCCCAGACCCCGCGCCCGCCCGCAGGCGGCGCCACTAGCGGCGCCATGGTCAAGGTGCGTGTGGCCCCCGGCGTCCGCCCGAGACCAGTGCGGACGGGTGGAAGGCGAGGAGAAAGAGGGAGGGCGGGTCGTCTTTATTCTGCCTTCCTTCTGGCCTCTGCACGGCCCCTCTCCCCTCCTGCGGCTAGCTGGGGTGAAGACCCAAATCCAAACCTCGGGGGAAGGGGCCCCAGGGGTCCCAGGCCGGCTCCGATTCGGAAGGTGGAGCGGGGCGGGGCGTTAAGACCGCCCTGCCCGCGACTGAGGTTCATGAGCTCAGTGGGCACGCCGCACCCGAGAAGCGGGACTGACGGCCGGTGTGTCCTGTGGGGAGCAAGATACTAGGGCGCCCCTGGGGCTTCTTGGAGGGGTCATGTCTCCAGCTGGGGGAAGTAACTTCCCACCTTCCCCACCCCCAAGAGGGGTACCCTGAGGAGATGCTGGCAGGGCTGTGTGGCCTAGCCTTCCCTCTACACTGGAGGAGAGGAAAAGAAAGGGGTCCAGGAGTTGCTATTTGAAGGTGGGGGAGAGAGAACCTCTCCACAGTCTCGCCAGAGGAGAGAATGAAAGGTGCGAGGGAGGCTCCCTTCCCTGCCGGTCCCTGACCCACAGGGAGAAGAGCTTGACGCCTCTTCAGAAAACCCATCTTGGACCAATACTGCACCTCTGCTTTCCTTTCAGAAAACACTAGAAATTTACTCTGTGGAGCTCAGTGGAACGAAAGACATTGACCAAACAGACAAGGGGGATGGCAAGGAGAAGTACAGAGGCCTGAAGAACTGCTTTGAACCCAAAAAGAATCACCAGAAAGAGGAGCTTAAGAAAGAACTGGATCTGGTCAGTTGATTTGGTCCTTAAGCCAGATGGGTCCACCGAGTACTGCCCTTCCCCCTGAGAACTTGCCCCTATAACCTGCCTCTTACAAAAGAAAGATCAGTCTCGACGATTTGAAAATCTCCCTCCCCGCTCCGCCATGAGATTTGTTTCCTTGTTTAAAATAAATGGCGTGATAATATCTACCCAGGGGTAGGTCCTGTGCAGGATTCCTGTATTCTGGTTGTAGGCACTCTGAGGGAAGAGCCTCTGATTCCAGTCCCCACAGGCACAGCCCAGACCTCTTTCCTTCCGGGCTGTTTCATTGAGACATAGGTGACCGATTGCCAGTTTTCAGCTGGTAAGGTAAAACTGTTGGAGCTGGAACCATGCAGGAGAAAAACCAAAACCACGAAACCTTGCTAGGTTTCTGGCTATGTATGCCCCATGAGAAAGAATAATTTCACTGGTAAGAATATTGGGCTTGGATTCAGAGAACCTTAGGCTCAATTAAGTTCCACTTCACTGATTGATAACTGGGAGCAAACCACCTAGCTTCAGTGAAGCTCCATTTTCTTTGTGGAAAGTGGGAAATAAGCAGTTTGCAGGGGTGAGGGGGAAAAGTGAGAAAAAAGTAAGAATATTGTGTAACTGATGCAATTTGTAGTTTAAAGTGTAATTTATAATTAGTCATTTTGTGATTTATGGAAGCCTGGTATTCCTGTTAAGGAGGAACTTTGGAATTATTAAAGCTGGCCACCATGGGAAAGACCTGCCTCAGAACTGAAATGTGACAGGTTACATCTTAGGAACGTCAAGGCGGAAACTTCCACACCAAGCCCGAAATTTGCTAGATTGCCCCTGCAGTTCACTGCAGACTTTAAAATTCTGTTATTGTTGGAGCAGATAGTAGTGGTGCAAGTTCATGTGGGCTAGCGAGCCAATTGTTAAATATTCAGGAATTTGGCAAGTTGGTTGACATTGGGTTAGCAGCTTGAAATTTGGCTATGGTGAGAAATCAGTGAATACTATAAATCAGAGCTTTTAGTTTATTTTTCCTGGCAGGCTCATTAAACATTCAGCAGCACACCACTAGGTATTTGTCCATGTATGTTCTGACAGTTAAGAACACAGCCCTGAAACTGGACTGACCCAAATTCAGATCCCAGTTTGATTGACATTCATTTCCTATTTTGAAAAACAGGAATTAAAAATGGTGCCTACCTGTTGAAGTCATTAGAGGGTTAAATGAAGTAAAGGAGGAGAAATGCTTAGCACAGCACCAGACGATAGATAGCCATTCTTATTTCCTATGTATCTCTAGCATTTAGGATTGAAGGCAAATCTAGTCTTCCTTGAAATTGCTACTTACAACATGAACGTATATCCATTATGCCTGTTTACTATGAAGACAATCTCCCTTTTTTGAGCATTTTGTGAAGTTGTATAATCTAGGAAAATAATTTTTATGGTGTTAGCCGGTGTTCCCCTGCTTCCCTGCTGAGAGAGGAACATCTTTCTTTCCCAACATTCTCACAAGAATCCTATAATTTCATTTGTGACAGCATACTTGGATGCCCTCTGGCACATTGGAACTTTGACAAGAACTAAAGTATCCCTGGCTTCTGAATAAACAGGCTGATTTATGACCCAAGCCTGAGCCACAGGATGATGCCCTGAGCTATTCTAGTGCCGGCCAGCAGGGTGCGCCAGAGGCACCCACCCCTCCTCCTCCCCCTCCCCCATGCTCTCATCCACAAAGTCAGGGATAAAGGAAGAGGAAAGGTATTCTGCCTCACACTATATATAGGCTCCTTAAAGTCTGAGTTCCATCCATGTGAACAATGGCTGTAATCACCTGTTACCTCTGTCTGCCCAGAACTTAGCACACTGTGCACAGAACTGTGTCTTAATCCTTTGAATCCCCAGCAATATCTTTCAATTATTAATATTAGTACAACGACTGAATGAGTAAAGCAGAATCTGGCTGAGGAAAGGGCAAAAAAATGTTGTAATTGGAAAATCTAATCTCTTACACAACATGTCACTTTTTTGCATGTACTTAAGAGAAGAGATGGTTCTTTTCCCCATCACAGTATAAATCTTTGTTTCAGATGATCAGAGCTTAAAGAATCCTGAGTGCTGCTGCTAGGAATTTACCCAAGGGATACAGGAGTGCTGATGCATAGGGGCACATGTACTCCAATGTTTATAGCAGCACTTTCATCAATAGCCAAATTATGGAAAGAGCCTAAATGTCCATCAACTGACGAATGGATAAAGAAGTTGTGGCTTATACATACAATGGAATATTACTTGGCAATGAGAAAGAATGAAATCTGGGCTTTTGTAGCAACATAGATGGAACTGGACACTGTTATGCTAAGTGAAATAAGTCAGTCAGAGAAAGAAAGATACCATATGTTTTCACTCATATGCGGATCCTGAGAAACTTAACAGAAGACCAGGTGGGGGGAGAAGGGGGAAAGAAAAGTTACAGAGAGGGAAGGAGGCAAACTATAAGAGACTCTTAAATACTGAGAATGAAGTGGATAATGGGCATTGACGAGGGCACCTGTTGGGATGAGCACTGGGTGTTGTATGGAAACCAATTTGACAATAAATTTCATATTAAAAAAAAAAAGAATCCTGAGTGCTAGATTTTCTAGGTAGGGTGCAGGAGAGTTACTTAACCCTGAGTTTTCCAAGACAGGAAGAGGTTTCTAATCCTGTAGCCCAGTGGGTCTCAAGGGAAGGGAGAGGAGGAATTTGCTCCCCAGGGGACATTTAGTAAGGTCTGGAGACATTTTTGGTAATCACAACTCCACGGAGGTTGCTAATAGGTGGCATATAGCAGGTGGAAGCCCCCCCACCCCCCCGCAACAAAGAGTTATTGGCTCAAATGTCCGTAACGCCAAGGTTGAGAAACTCTGCTTTAGTCTGATGATTCTATAACAAAATTAGCAAGTGTGGACCATACTGGTATTTATTTGGCAGATTGTAAGTCTCAGGACTTCTCTAACAAGTGAACTCCCTGAGTCTCAAGTATTTGATTAAGGAAAGTCTTGCCTCTTCCTACCAGAGACTACCTGCCCAAAGAGGGCTGCACGGGTAATAAGTTGTGAGAATATATCAGGTGGGTCTGGTTAGGTATAGCTCATCACCCTCAACTAATCCCAGAACTCAGGTCTGAACTAAGTATCCAGATCACTAGTATCTGGACAACAGAGAGTTATGCTAGAATTTGCATGTGCTGGAGAACAGATTGAGGTGAAATGCATTGCTTTGTTCATAAAAACTAAAGACAGTTATTACGTGGTAAATGGCAAATTAAGCCTGAACTCAAGGGATGGCCAGAAAATCCCCTGGCCAGTGAATCAGAAGAGCAAGCCTTTCTTGCAGCGAGACTCTCTCTTCCCTCACTGCAATAACCACCTGGCACAGAGGGTTTTTTCCTTTTCTCCCTCACTCCTGCCCCCCCCTCTTCTATCCTCAGTGCTACTCTCAGTTTTCAGGGGCTGGTCTAAACTTAGTTTAGCATTTGTGTCTTTTGGAATTATCTAATGCACTCTCTTCTTCTTTTCACGGACTTCAGGATGACCACAAACTCAGCATTAAGGAGTTGGAAAAGAAATATGGTACAAACATCATTACAGTAAGTCATCAGGGGACTGGGGATCAGGAAGACTGGGACGGAACTATACAAAGGACTGTACAAAGCTGTGTGCTTAGGGTGTGTGGAAAAGTGGATGGCATCTTTAAGATGAAGCAGCAACTTTGAGAATGCCATTCACCTACATACCCAGCATGTGAGAGGGGGCTGGTTAACCTGAAGAGCTGGCGGGGCTGAACCACGCCCCAAGTCAAGCCCCTCAGCTGAGCTGGATGCCTGGCTATAAACAATCTTTTGGTTATAACTGCAGGAAAGCTGTGGTATCCCCAGGAAGACTCAGACACGTCTTTATGGTCGTGGTCAGAGGCAGAGATTACTTTTAACCTCCATGTCCAGGAAGTATAATGGTCTTATCAAAGAGTGGGGAAAACCAGTGTTAAAAAGCAAGCATCCAGAGTGACAGTCTTAGAACCCTGCTTGTCTGCCTCTTCCTCTGAGAAGAGCACACACTGGTGTGCTCCAAGGCATCTAGCAAATTCCCCCATCACAGAAGGACTGCTTCAAATTCAAATTAAATTTCAAAAGTTTTGGTGTCTTGACATCAGGAGATTTGGAAACATCTGTTGAAGGCAACAAAAAGAGCTATGTGCACCGCACAGGACGAGCAGTGAGAGGGGCAGAGGGACAGGTGATCCCTGGTCTCAAGGAGTTAGCAGTCCAGTAAGGGATGCAGATATATAGGGGAGTATCATAACATCCAGTCTGTTCCACTTAGATGGCAAAGATAGGTTTAAACAGTGTGCTGAGTGACCCATTCTGACCAGAGGAACCAGGCTCCCTGGATGGAGCAGTGCGTAAATCAGGATATAGGAGGATTCAGGTTTAAGTTAGCAGAGTACCCAGGAGGCTGGAGAAACAGGGTATGTTTGGAAATCAGTCTGGGGTTTCTGGGAGCTAATGTGTGTGGAAAGGGGAGAAGAGGGATAAAAAATAAGGCTGGGGAGTGGTAATTTGGGTGAAACTATCAAACACTTCCATATTAAACTAAGGAATAAGGACTATATTAGTTGTACTTACACACAATTTCTAAACAGGGAAGTGATTTGAGTAAGATTGGTTTTCAAAAAGCAATTCTGGTAGAAGATAGTAGAAGATATATATAGATATAGATAGGTAGATTCTGGTAGAAGAGAGAGAGAAACAGACAAGCAATTCTGGTGGGAGATATATATAGGTATCGGTAGGTAGGTAGATAGATATTTTTTTTTAAGTGGGAGATGGAAGGATCTAGTAGAATGAGACAATCACTCAGGAATACAAAATGAGGAACCAAAACAGGGCAGTAGCAGTAAGATGGGAAAGGAAGGGGGCAGATTCAAGAGACATTTCAAAGAAATAACTCGTAGAACTTTGCTTTGCTGGAGTTTTTGAACAGATCCCTGATCCCAGTTACCAAGGTAGAGAAGCAGGAGGAGGAGGAGATTTGGTCAAGTGGTGGACAGGGCCATGGCAGGGAGCTGGGGGCCGAGAGATTAGTGAAGGCCATAAGAAGGAGAAGGTGGTAAATTTTATTTGAACTATACTACAAGTTGGTGGCTCCAAATCTAGTTATTCAGCAAATACATGAGCCTCTATTACAGAAGAAGCAGTACACCCTATAAAAGACACAAAAATGAATAAGCGTAGTCTTTAAACTATCCTTTAAGTAGCTTACAATGTATTAGGGAGAAAAAGTAATGACAAGACTTTCTCCACAAAGGATAGTTTGTGGGGGGAAAAAAAGCCTTATGAATCACAATACACGATTTCAAGGTGGTGGAGGGGCCTGTGTGCACCTGTGGATGGCACGCTTACCAGGAAAGGCTTCTGGCAAGAAGTGACTGCTGATGTGGGCCTCAGGGGTTGGTAGGATTTATAACACTTAAGATGAGCAAGAACTTAGAACTTGGGGTGGATATATAGAAAAGCAGAAAGACACCAGACTTAAGGATGAAAAATTAGCCCAATAGAGAATATTTTCTGGATAATTACTACATTGCCCTTAACCCTGGTGATTAGCTTTTATATTTCAAATCCTCCTTAGCCAAGTTACTCCTATCTAGAGTGTAGTATAATGGCTCTGAAGCCAGGTTGCCCGGTTCAATCTGGTAGTACCATGTACTAGCTGGATGATTTAACCTCCATATGCCTCAAATTCTACATCTGTAAAATGAGGATAATAATGGTACCTTCTTCAGAGAGTTATTTGGAAGAGTATATGAGCAAATATATGGAGTACATCGCTTGGCTGATAGCACTAATATTAAATATTCTTTTTAAAAAGGTGAGGGTTGGGGGAGAGGAGGCATCATCTACTTTTCCCGGGTCCTCCTTGCGCATGGTTAACTGCTACCCACAACCTGCAGAAAAAATGATGTCCAACCTCAGAGAAGAGAAATGTCTAATTCCTATTTGTTTTTGCTTGGCTTTCTCAGGGTCTTTCTAGCACCCAAGCTGCTGAGCTCCTGGCTCAGAATGGTCCCAATGCCCTCACTCCTCCCAAGGAAACACCGGAGATCATCAAGTTTCTCAAGCAGATGGTGGGAGGGTTCTCCATCCTTCTGTGGATAGGAGCCATCCTGTGCTGGATTGCATATGGGATCCAGTACTCCATGAATAAGTCCTCATCCCTAGACAACGTAAGGGGGCCTCTTTCTAGGATTTGCTAAACTAGTAATGGGAAAACAATCATAAAATAAGGCCTTTGGTGGGCAGAGCTGGAATCAGGAGTCTACACTGATCACTCACTGTGCGGGTTTGGGAAAATCAAGAATTTTACCAGCTATAAAATAGAAATTGTAGCTAACTTTCTGATGTCTGAGGGGCAGCATGAGGCGTGAATTTTTTTTTTTTTTAATTTTTTTTTTCAATGTTTTTATTTTTATTTTTGGGACAGAGAGAGACAGAGCATGAACGGGGGAGGGGCAGAGAGAGAGGGAGACACAGAATCGGAAACAGGCTCCAGGCTCTGAGCCATCAGCCCAGAGCCCGACGCGGGGCTCGAACTCACGGACCGCGAGATCGTGACCTGGCTGAAGTCGGACGCTTAACCGACTGCGCCACCCAGGCGCCCCATGAGGCGTGAATTTTAAAGAGACAAAGAGGGGCACTCCAAGTTCCTAAGGGAAAAAATATCTGTATCCATATGAAATATTTTGGGGTTCTCTCACCTCAGAGCTAATTGTCTCCCTTTAACATGGGGAGCATCTATGCCTGCTGATAACTGAGTACCAAAACCAAAAAACTGAATTGGCCAACATGATGCTAAGAGAAAGAAGCCAGATGCAAAAGGCCACACACTATATGATTCTGTTGATATGAAATGTCTAGAATGGGTGCATCCTAGAGACAGAAAGCAGATCAGTGGTTGCCAGGGTTGGGGGGTGGGAGTGGGAAATGACTGCAACTGAGTACTAGGGATCTTATTGGGGCGATGAAAATGTTCTAAAACTGTATTGTGGTGATTGTTGCAAAACTGTAGATTCATTAACAATCGCTGAATTATGCACATTAAATGGATACATTTTGTGGCCTATAAATGACACCAGAATACCACTGCCATATCTCTTGCCTTCCCATGGAGAACTCTATCCCTAGGACCTGACTCACTCCTGATGCCTGTTCTTCTGATCGATGCTTCTCCTCCTTACCCAGGCGTACTTGGGCTGCGTGCTTGCCTTGGTTGTTATTTTAACGGGGATCTTCGCTTACTACCAAGAAGCAAAAAGCACCAACATCATGGCCACCTTCAATAAGATGATCCCACAGGTGGGTAGCAGCCATCCCTCTCTGGTCTCTACATGACTTCAGATGAGGAAGCACCAGATGAGGAGGAGAGTGGGGTCTCTGAGGCAGAGAGTCTGTGCTCCACCATTTGCTGTCTAAGTCTTAGGCAGTCCCTCTGAAGCCCCACTTCTGCACAGAGTTTTGAGATGATCAGGGAAGTAGGACACAGGAAAATGCTTAGTCGAGAACAAAGCACAGAAGCATCAATCATCACACAACATCTTCTATTACTGCTCATGAGCTTTGGTGGACTGTTCAAACAAAAGTAATTCAGGGGCTTCCAAGAGTGAACTGTAGAAGTTCAGGAGTATTCCTTGGTAGCCAAGGAGGTCAACCTGCAATTCTTCATCTGTGACCATTTTTGCACCCATTTTGGAGCCTCTCTGCACATTGTCCCAAACTGCTCTTGGTGAGGGAGGCCTGCTGCTGCTGTCTTCCCACAGGGTCCCGTGTTAGGTGTCCTCTAGGGAGACCACACACCACTGTCAGCACAGTAGGAAAACCATGCTGCCCCTGGCCCATGGAGCTGCCAGCTGGAGAGGGTTCTGGATGGGATCATCTGTGCTAAGAAGTGGGAGATCTGCCTCCCACTCCATTAAAGTTTTCCTGATCTGAGCAAGATTACTAAACACTTTGGCTCAGGCTTCAGGGCTCTCCCTGCACATCCCATCCAAGATCACTCAACGTTAATTGTCCCTCTTACTGTCATGCCCAGGGCTGTCAGTTTGTTATATCTGCCCACAACAGCATATTCTGGTTCCAAGAACTCTCTAAGAGTTCCTCCTCAAGAAACGAGAGATCTTAGTATGTTCAGTTCCTAGGTACAAGTCTTTGGCTTCCGAGAGCTGTGGCTTCCATGGCCTGCATTCCCAAGACGTGGGAAGGTGCAGATGGAGGAGCACTGGCATCATTCCAGGATGAGTTGTCTACCACTGTTTTCCTTTGCAGCAAGCTCTTGTCATTCGAGATTCCGAGAAGAAGACCATCCCTGCAGAGCAACTAGTGGTGGGAGACATAGTGGAGATTAAAGGAGGAGACCGGATCCCTGCAGACATAAGGTTGTTGTCTGTTCAGGGCTGTAAGGTAAGCATCACAGGGAACCCCAAAGATCACGCTCGAAACTAGTTGCCATTATTTTGTCTTTCCAGGTCTCAGTGTAACTGTGACAGGAACAAGATGCCTAGTCTTCAACTTTTTTCAAAATTTCTTCTAGGTAGATAATTCATCTCTCACTGGGGAATCGGAGCCCCAAGCCCGCTCCTCTGAGTTTACCCATGACAATGCCCTGGAAACAAAGAACATCGGCTTCTATTCTACAACTTGTCTGGAAGGTAAGTCCAGCTGTCTCTCAAGACCACATGCCCCACCCATCCCCCTTCTCCCCCTTAGGTTTTATGTTCTTATCTCTTTACCACCTCTTGCTACAAAGCCTTTCCAAGAGAAAACATGGAACTGAAAAGCCCAGAGAACTTTGTAATGTCATGTGCTAATTGATCGTGTAAGCCAGCAAAGAGAGGACTGTAAATGGGCTGCGGTCCCCTTGTAGCTGAGGACTCCTGGAATAAAATGTCTACTTCACCTATAGGCACAGCGACTGGCATGGTCATCAACACAGGCGACCGCACCATCATTGGTCAGATTGCCTCTCTGGCTTCAGGAGTTGGAAATGAGAAGACACCCATTGCCATTGAGATTGAGCACTTTGTTCATATTGTGGGAGGAGTGGCCATCTCCATTGGCATCCTTTTCTTCATCATCGCAGTGTCCCTGAAGTATCATGTCCTGGACTCCATCATCTTCCTCATTGGCATCATTGTGGCCAATGTGCCTGAGGGTCTCCTGGCCACTGTCACTGTGAGTCCATGCTGCTAGGTGGCCTATACCCTCACCCTGGTAACCCTTAGCATTCTGCTGTGCTGGGTGAGCACCCACCGTACACTGTGAGTCTCCTCCGTCTTCAGAGCCACACTCCCTCCCTGTAAGGGATACCATGGGACATTCTGAATAGACTGTTTCGTAGACAAAAGGAATTGTGATATTGTTAATATTCAAACGCACTGTCCTAGAAAACGTTATGTTTTCATTTTCAGGAGATCTATCTGCAAATTGCACATATTATCTTCCTCCTTAAGATCTAGATAAGACAAACTCAAACTACCACCACAGATTTTCAGGAAGCCTGATGCCTTCTCTATGTTTTCATATTTCCTAAAAAGAAAAAAAATATCCTTGGCAATTTCTACAACTGAGGAACTTAGGCATATTACTTACCTCCTAAGTTTAATAAAAGGATTGTGGCATATAGGTCTTTATGTGGTTTATCAGGCACTGGGTCAGCTTTGCTGCATCTGTAACTATACCTCTGTTCTGCAATCAGTTCAGCTCCAGCTGCTTCTATGTTCTGGAGCCCAAGTTCAAAATGATAATTTTTCTCAAAGCTTCTCTCTCTCTTTCTCTCTGTCTCTCTCTATTGGTCTCTATCCCTCTGTCTCTCTCTCTCTCTCCCTCCCCGGTCTAGGTGACTCTGTCGCTGACAGCTAAACGGATGGCCAAGAAGAACTGCCTGGTGAAGAACCTGGAGGCAGTGGAGACCCTTGGCTCCACCTCCATCATTTGCTCAGACAAGACTGGGACTCTGACCCAGAACAGGATGACCGTGGCCCATCTGTGGTTCGACAATCAGATCTTCATAGCTGACACCAGTGAAGACCATTCAAGTAAGTCTTCTGGAACATTCAGTGGGGCCTGAAGTTGTGGACTTGAGTAGAGGAGGCCGAGCAGAATGTGGTTGCAGTCTCAGAGAATTGTTTGAATAGTATGGGTATTAGGCCTACCACCCCCAGGATCCACTGTTCTGTTTTCCAGACCAAGTCTTTGATCAAAGCTCTGGAACTTGGGCCTCCTTATCAAAGATAATAACATTGTGCAACAGAGCTGAGTTCAGACCGGGACAGGAAAGTGTCCCCATCATGAAGGTAAAGTTTCAGCATCACTCAGTCTTAAATCACAGCCAGTTTGAAGTCACTTTCTCCATTCTGATTTGGTGCTTGAATTAAATCTTTCCAACTGTGTAAAGTTTGTACCAGTAAGAACAAGTCTGACTCACAAGACCCGCAGAAAATTTTCTTCACTCTAAGTAGCTTTCAGAAATCACAGAGATGTCTAAAAGTCCTCAGAACATTGATTTGGTCTTTTGAAAATTCTGTCTCATTCCTGAAAATGGATGTGCCTTTAAGGTACTTTCCTTAAAGTAGATATAATTAAAGTTTCTTTATTACATAAATGCCATTCACTTTATTACTTAAATCCATTCGCTGAAGTTTAAAATATAATTGGATGAAAATAGAAGGATTGACCTTAGAACGTATTCCTCTTGGCAGAAGATGGGGTTCTAAGGGGTCCTGGAATGTTGGAATATACAAAAACAAACTTCTCCCTCCCCCTCCTTCCTTCCCTTCCTCCTCTCTCCTCTCCCCTTCTGCTTCTCCCTCTCAGTGAGTTCTCCTGGCTTTTCTGTTTGCCATCTGTTTCCTTCATTGACTCTTGCTCTTTCTTATACTTTTTATTTGATTGGTTTCTTTCTCTATCAGACAGCTCATCAATTCTCTTCTGGGCCAATCACTTCTCTGCCCATATCTTTCAAATCCTCATCTCCAATTCTGATTTCTCACCCAAACTCCATGGATCTTCAGTTAGTTTTGTGTTTCCACTCAGAAGTTTTGCCATGTTAGACTCTCAACAAATTATACTTCTCACCTTCCACATGTGCCCAACCTGGCTCTAAATCACTCTCTTGTCCAAAATTTGCCTACTTTTTCTATGACATAACCATTTTACTTGTCATTCAAGCCAAACCTTTTGGAAGTCGTCTTTAATTTTCTTCATTCCTAATATCTAGTGAATCACCAAGTCCTATTATTCTTGCTTCAAAAATATCTATAATTTTATATTTATATTATCACTAGTACCTTATATGTAATTAATTATACCAACCTCTTTTTTTTTTTTAACACTAACTTGTTGATACAAGTTAGTATTATTTTTTTTTTCAACGTTTATTTATTTTTGGGACAGAGAGAGACAGAGCATGAACGGGGGAGGGGCAGAGAAAGTGGGAGACATAGAATCGGAAACAGGCTCCAGGCTCTAAGCCATCAGCCCAGAGCCCGACGCGGGGCTTGAACTCACGGACCGCGAGATCGTGACCTGGCTGAGGTCGGACGCTTAACCCACTGCGCCACCCAGGCGCCCCAATTATACCAACCTCTTAATTAGCTTCCATGATTCCAGTTTGTCCCTTCCCCAAGTCTTTCTTCCGTGCCACTAATTTTCCTTAAAGACTTCATTAGATGAACTGCTTCACCTAACTTTGCTCAAAACTTTCTGTGCATCTCTGTTTTTGACTTCTCAAGTTTTAGACCTTGACTGCCATATCCACCTGTATGTCCAGAATATATACCGAACTCTTCCATTTCATGCCTTCTTTCATGACATTCTGGTTTCCAGAAGGCTTTCTTTTGCACCTTTATCTCTTGGTAATCCATCTGTCTTTCAAAACTAGTTCATATCTGCTTTTTTCATGAGACCCTCCAGCTCTCTCAGAGCTCTGTTTTGAACTTGCCTAATGCCAGTAGGCAGCACCATTCAGTTTAACACTTTTACCATGCTTCAGTCAGTGGCTAATTGTGGTGTAATCATTTGTTAGATGGTAAGCTTAACTAGGCTCTATGCTGGCTCATTAAATATGATCACAAAAGAACCAGATTATGTGCTGCAAATATTTGTTATCTATTGATTCTCAGAGAGTTGTCGTTGGAGATGCCTCAGAAACTGCTCTTTTGAAGTTCTCAGAGGTCATTTTGGGTGATGTGATGGAAATTAGAAAAAGAAACCACAAAGTAGCTGAAATCCCTTTTAATTCAACCAATAAATTTCAGGTGAGTTTTTCCTCACAACCGAATCTTTGCCATCACTAGACGGCATTTCTAGCTGTAAGTATCCTTTGGTTAGTGTATATTTTGAATGATATTTGACTTCAGAAATAGTCCTCAGGGATGCAGGGCCTGGGCATCTAATAAGCCCAGAATAGGTTTCCCTTGCTGGCCTCTTTCCTTTGCTGGAAGTAGATAGAGAAGAAAGAAAAGTAGAGATCTTGTCAGGTGCCGGCTGTTCCTGTGAACAATCTATGTTATACACACACACACACACACACACACACACACACACACACACACACAACCACTTCACTCCCACCCCTACCCCCACCCCCTCCGGGTAACATTTGCACAAGTGAGGGGCAAAAGCCTTATCCCAAAGGATAAATGAAAGGTGAGGGAGTGGGGAGAAGTAAAATTTACTGTGCCCTTCATTTATGTCCAACACTTTACATACATTCTCTCAGTTAATCCTCACAATAAACCTGAGGTAGGGCTAATTAATCTCAATTTCTAGGTGAGGAAACAGACCCTTAGAAAATATTGATGAAAGAAAGGAAGGAAGGAAGGAAGGAAGGAAGGAAGGAAGGAAGGGAAAAAGGAAAGAAGAAAAAAGAAAAAAAAATGTCAATCCTAGCAGAGTTACCCAAGCGTTTGAGTGGCACAACCACTTTTCACACATCTCTTCAACTCCCAAGGCCATGTTTTTTCTACCACAACACAAAGGCAGAACAGTTTAGTTCAGGCCACGTGAATAAGCCTTGCCTTTTGTGAAAACCAATGAACAGTCTTCTCAGATGACTATTACCAGCCACGTTGCTTTCTAGTTCTGCCCCATATGCAGTTGACAGGGATCTCCTTTCTACCCATTGCTCAGGAAGAAAATGGCCATCCTTTGCTAGCTGTCTTCCCTCATTCCAGGCTGGCTAAGAACCCACGAGCTCTGTCCTTCTCATGGGGGGACAAATGGCAATTTGTAACCCAGTTACTGCTGCAAGTGGGACTTCCCATAGACTCCAAAGCTGAGAGCAGGGCGTCATGACTTGGTCTTTGCATAACAGGAAAGTATATAAATAAGATAACCATGTCTGTGTAAACGTTTCTGGTATTTACCCACACATTTTGTTTGGATGTCATTTAGGATTGGGAAATAACTGTGTTGCAAACGTCTTTGTGAATAACAAGCCAATGAAGAATTGTAGTTAGCCAAATAGACAACTAAAAAATGTATGAAGTAAAATACTAAAGCCAGGAAGTTAGATCTCTTATTCAAAACATAAGTGAAAATAGAATGAGTAACAATCCTAAAATAACAATAGTAATGATAGGTATTATATGCTAATTTCTACATACATTGAATCACACACTCTATAAGGTAGGGAATGAGGAAACTGAGGTACAGAGCATTATCACACAGCTAGTAAGGGCCAGAGCCAGGATTCAAACAGACCCAGGGAGTTCATGCTCTTAAGTAGATTGAATACCTTCTAATCAGGAACAAGACTCAGAATCTGACTGGGGTTCCATCTACTCCAGTAAAGCCTTTCCTAATGATGTGAGAAATGAGAAAAAGTAGGTTCTGTGAGGCCTCATGTACTAAATGTTGAGGGAGAAAGTGGGCTACCCAGAGTTGGAAGTAGAAAGGAGGTCCTATGTGGGCTCCTGCAGAAGAGATCAAAGAACCTCTTTGGGTGCTGTTAGTGCTATGTTATATCTACACGTGAGCAACACTCAACCCTAATCAAAGAGTCTTAGATGTCATGACCTTGGTCTCTGGGGTATCATTCAACCAAAGGAAATAAAGTGGAAGGTCTATGTCTTATTGATTTAAAAAAGCAATTACCCAAACTGAGACTGGTCCATTAAAATATTTCCAATGGTTTGTGGCAAACTGGTGAAAATGAGGACAATATTTTGTAAAGTTTTATATAAAGATGAATGTATTTAATTTAAAAGATTATCCTTTATATGCTGCCTGATTAAGGCAGGGACTCTAGTAGCCTGAATTCAAATCCCAGCTCAGTCACCTATTAGGGTATGACCTTGCACATGCCAGTTAATCTCTCCGCACCTCAGTTTCCTCCCTTGTAAAAGGTGGTAATTATAGTACCCACAGCCTTAGGGTGGTTTTGAGAATTAAATGAGTCAATCTGTGAAGCACTTAGAACAGTACACACTACAAAATTGTTTATTATTCCTACTTTTTTTTTCCAAAGTTTATTGATTTTGAGAGAGAGAGCATGCGTGAGTGGGGGTGGGGGAGGGAAAGAGAGAGAGAGAGAAAGAGAGAGAATGAGAATCCCAAGCAGGTTCCATGCTGTCAGCACAGAGCCTACTCAGGGCTTCATCTCACAAACCATGAGATCATGACCTGAGCTGAAATCAAGAGTCAGTGCTTAACCGGATGAGCCACTCTTGCACCCCTATTATTCCTACTTTTTAAATGTTAAAATACCATGTCTTTGAGAAAATGATAGTGGTAATAGATGTGAGGTTTTAGTTTGGCTTTGTGTTTGGTTTTGGTTAGTTGCTTTTTTTAATATGTTTACTTGCCCATTTAAAAAAATACCATATTTGCCCTCTACTTTTTTTTTTTTTTATTGTGCTCCTCTCTGATATGCAGAAGGCTAAGAACTACTGGTTTAGAATTAATGGATAGACCCAAAATGGCAGATTTTTTTTTTTTTTTTTTTTTTTTTTTTTTTTTTTTAGTAACTTACTCATTCTCTAGCAAACACTCCAGCTTCCGGGATTTCCTTTCAGAGGCTTAGAAGAGTACCTGCTTTACAATAACAGCTTATATAAGACTTCACCATTTTATGATCATTTATAAGTTTTTTCAGATTTTTTCTGATTATCTTATTAGGATGAATCTGGAAGTAGAATTAGTAGGTGAGAGGATGTTGATGTTAAAATTGTGGAACCTACTTAACTCTTCTCCTGAAAGCCCGTGAGAATGCCCACTTCTTCCACCCCTACTATTTTCCTTCATGTCCAGGCAGTGAAACTGGATTGATTTGGAGACGAAGAGGCACAGGAATTCCTGCTGCTCTCACCCCTGCCTGAGCTCAGAATAGCGTTGGTCTGAAAGGCTGCTGCTCACAATAGGGAGGTAGCAACAGGAGGTGAGATAAGGTGGCCAAGGTCCTCTGACCCCCACAGGCTTCCCAGGAGATCTGGTTCAAGACAGAGACTTCATGGGCTAACAGCCACATCTGGTCTCCCTAAAGCAACCAGTTTCTTTTTGAAAGACCAGCTCCACTTAGTGTGGATTCAAACTCAAGGTACCCCTCTGAGTTGGGACCAAGTCTAGATCTCTGTGTATTATTTGACCACAAAATTAAAAAAGGATAGAACATGCCTATAGCCAACACCCTTTTTCACGTCAAAGATGAGTAGCCCAGTGAGAGAGAGGATATCTTTAATCTTCTTGTCATGTTGCTAATTAAGAGATCTGTCCAGTTCAGGCCGTTACTAGTAAAGATAGTGTCATTATTCAATGGCAGGCTGTACCTAACGTGCTGAGTTCCTTCCCTCCCAGCTCTCCATACACAAGACGGATGACCCCAATGACAAGCGCTTCCTCCTGGTGATGAAAGGAGCCCCCGAGCGGATCTTAGAGAAGTGCAGCACCATCATGGTCAATGGCCAGGAGCAGCCTCTGGACAAGAGCACAGCTGAGGCCTTCCACACCGCGTACATGGAGCTGGGAGGCCTGGGGGAGCGTGTACTGGGTGAGCTCTTTGTAGCAGTACCCTTATCCATCACCTGTTGGGTGTGAGGCTCTATGCCAGGTCAGGGCACAAGAGGAGACAGGCTTATTATCTAGCAGAGTAGCTGTGGCACCCACATGAATCACAGAAAGCATGGCAAACAAACATGTATGATAATACTGTATGATAGTACTGAGGAGGGTGGGGTTGCTTCCAGATGAGGAAAATCTGGGAAGATTTTATGGAAGGAGTTACATTTTAAACTCAGCCTTGCATGACAATATTTGAAGGGAGGTGGAAAAAAAGTATTCACAGTAGAAGGAACAACATAAGCCAAAGCACAGAGTTAAAAATGGATGGGGTCTGTGCACACATTGTGAGTGAGCCAGTCTATGTTTAGCGTTGCAGGCGAATGAGACGACGTAGTCCTAGGAAATGAGCTGGAAAGATAGACTGCAAGGCATGATATGGAGTGCCTTATGTGGGTGAAGAACTGGGCTTTCATTCCACAGTCAGGAGAGCCACTAAATGCTTTGCAGCAAGTGGACTGATCAGAATGACAGTGTTTTCTAAAGGATAGTTCTTGGCAGCAGCAGGGAGAGGAGAGGCATGGCTCTCAGGAGGAGGTTGCTCCCTCATTCAGGTGAAAGAGGGTGGGAATTTGATCCAAGGCAATAGGAATGTGAAAGAGGGGTCAGACACAAGAGACTTCATGGAGGCAGAACTGGTAAGTCTGAGCAACTAGTTAGAGAAGAAAATTAAGTTTAAAATAATGTTGAAGTTGCTCACTTGCTTATTAGGGAGAAAATAGTGCCAGTTGCAGAGACCAGGGATGTTAGAGGTGGAAGGAACCATGGAAATCCAGCCACTGTGGCAGAAGCCTAACTGTGGTAACTTAAGTGATATCAAAGGGTATGTTCTTAATGAGAATCCTGGGTTGACAGAATGGAACCTGTAAACTACCGAATATGAATTTAAGGTAACAGAAGTTCACGGTTGATGATAAGGCTCATTAAACATCGTAAAAGTTCTTGCCAGTCGAGATGGAATCTGTGGAATGTGTGTTTCTAAAAGATATTTGAGCTTGTTAAGCAAATGAAATAATTAAATGAGATAATAATGCTTTAAGCATGCCTTAAATAACCCACAGCACCAGGTTATGTTTTCAGTGCAGGTTTGATACCTATCTGACCCGAATCACTCTAGGAACCTTGTGTTTGACCTCTCAAACTCTGTGCTTTACTAAAACGTGTAAAGCAGTGGGGCATGCTGAAAATAAATTTGATGTGAAAGCTGATGAGAAAGTCATACGACCTTGGAAGTCCCACCAGACACGGGAATCTTTTCTGCTTCAACCCATGAGAGGCAGATGCCTTCTGAGTAATGAAAGGTTCTCCATTCCTAATGGCCTTTCTCTCACACTCACCTTGATTAAAGATGGAGCTTCATACCATTCTCCTGACGCCTCAGATTCTTTCCCCAGTTTGTGCACTGGCACGTTCCGTTTTCTCTGCCTAAAATGGCCTTCTCATCCCACATCTCCCTTCTCTCCCTGGAAAATGTCTAACTCCTCTTTCAAGAATCATCTCACTTGTGACCTCCTTGGGGAAGTCTTTCCTGATTCCCCAGGTGACTCTACTCTGTAAGACTCACTGTACTTTTTTATGCTTTATCTCTTATGTCTCTGTCTCCACACTAGACTGAGATATCTCCAGAAGCAAAGGCTGACCCCTCTTGGTTTCTATATCCTTAGAACATAACAGAGAATCCAGTGGGCACCCAGTAAATTACTTTTGAATAAAATACATCCTTCCTGGGGCGCCTGGGTGGCGCAGTCGGTTAAGCGTCCGACTTCAGCCAGGTCACGATCTCGTGGTCCCCGAGTTCGAGCCCCGCGTCAGGCTCTGGGCTGATGGCTCAGAGCCTGGAGCCTGTTTCTGATTCTGTGTCTCCCTCTCTCTCTGCCCCTCCCCCGTTCATGCTCTGTCTCTCTCTGTCCCAAAAATAAATAAACGTTGGAAAAAAAAAAATTAAAAAAAAAAAAAAAAAGAAGAAATACATCCTTCCTAATTACAGCATGCATTATAGAATTGAAATAATGAAACAATTCTGGTATCCACTCAAGTATTAGTAAAATAGTAAAAGTGTATGAAAATGTTCCTCCTTTTTTTTTGTTATTTCTTATCCTAATTTCATTGACTCCCAAATTCATGCACATTCCAGGTTTCTGTCATCTCTACCTGCCAGCAGACGAGTTTCCAGAATCTTATTCATTTGATGTAGACACCATGAACTTTCCCACGTCTAACCTGTGTTTTGTGGGGCTCTTATCAATGATTGATCCCCCCCGGTCCACTGTACCTGATGCGGTCACCAAATGCCGGAGTGCAGGGATCAAGGTGGGAGTTATTGTCCTGACTTAAGAAGTCCTCCATTTATGTTGTACACTTCTCTAAGAATGGTTGTCATAGGAGGTAGTCAGTGTTCAAGTCTCAGGTAAATATCATAATCCCCCACCCCCTTTTTATCTCTACTTTCACTATACTAAGATTCTAGTAACCGTCCAATAAAGGCAAAATGATTGTGTCTGTGTGGAACAAACCACAATAGTAACTGCAGTGAGAATGCCATGAATTGACTCTATCTTCCTTGCCCTAAACTATGATAGACAATAAAAGGTTTTATTGCTTAATCTTGAGGTTCAGCCTCAAAATCCATTTGCCTTCATGATATCAGAACCAAAATATTAATTCCATTACCATGTTAATAACAAGACTGTTGAAGCAACATGAGGCTCTCTCAGGTAGATATCCACCAGCCCTTTCACAAATAAAGTAACATGCAAGGGAAAGGTCTTCCTCTAATGTCAGAGGAGGAAATGTAAGAAGCTTGGAAGCAAGGATAGATCCAAGGAGATCAGTGTGTCCTTCAGAGACAGTTTTGTCTTTGATCTAAAGATCAAAACCTAGCCATAAGGACAAACCACAATAATCACTCATCACTGATATTAAACTATCCCTACTCTGGCCATCTGAGATTCTCATTGTTCACATGCCTCTCTCATTGTGTTCTAGGTTATTATGGTTACAGGTGATCATCCAATCACAGCCAAAGCTATTGCCAAAAGTGTGGGTATTATTTCAGCCAACAGTGAGACAGTGGAAGACATTGCAAAACGCCTCCACATTGCTGTGGAGCAAGTTAACAAACGGTAAGCACAGAACCAATGTAGCAGAAACATTCTTATCCAAGTTCGTATCCTTGTTGGCTCTAAAGAGCTGTGCTATTTGGAGCAAATCCCTTTTTTTGCCAGACATTATCTCAGGGTAATGCTAGGCTGTATTGGTACCATGAAAATTACCCATTATGTACTCCTTGTATGAAATTTAAAAAACCCAGTGGAGTAGACCGGAAAACTTCAGTGCCAAATTTAGAGTGAGAAAAACTGAAACAAAATTTATATGAAATTACTTGCTGTCAATCCAGTTGTATAATCGGAATATTAAGAACCCTCTGTGTTTGGTGCACTCCCCTAGGGCTCATTTTGAGTATTTATTCAGTTGCTTCCTGAGGAAAGATTCGGTTTTCCATAGTGTCTCCTAATTCTTGTAATCATGTCTATCCTTTAGTCCACTCATCCATCCATTCAGTCATGTATTAACTTTCAACAGTTAATTGTTGAGTGCCAACAAGGTACCCGGCACGGTGCTAGACACTGGAACTATAGCAGCAAAGAGACCAGACACTATCCCTGCCCTTGGGAAGCTTTCCATCTAGGTTGAGGGACAGAAAAATAAAAACTATTTGTGATGTCATAAGTACAGTGAAGGAGACACACAGGGGACAAGGGTTCTAGCAGTGGGAGGAGAGTCACCTTGACTGTTGATAATTCAGATGACCAAAGACTCCAAAGTCTTAGTGTAAAAATAAATATTGGCTTTATTATAACTTCACACATGTTGGGGGGAAAGGGAGAGACCAATGAACCCCCTCTAGTTAACCCAAGCATTTATGCCTTTTAGAATACCAAGCTGTCAGGTAATAAATTATTACCTGAGCAACAAATTACCACTTAAGACAACCCAACAGAATTATAGCCTCTGGGCACAGCAACAATATCTGAAGTCCGAGTATTCCAATGCTCCTTTGTATAAACAACATTCATCTACAAAAGCTTTTTGGAGCTTTTGTTTATTTGCTTTGTTTTTAAAAATAATAGGATTACGCATTTTCATGCAACTCACCACACTGAATAGGGGTTGGGATGGATACTTTGGTGAATGTTTTCAGTTATTCACTGTGTCAACTGTAGCTTCATGATCATGTAATACTTGTACTTTTGCAGGTGTGGGGAGAAAGGACACACCCTTTTCTTATCTTACTTTCATATATATATATATATATATATATATATACACATATATATACATTTTTTTTTTTACCAGAACATAGAAACACCTGTATTTTGAGTCAAGTGCTAGAATTCTAGAATTTAGCACCAACAGGAAAACACAGACCTAAAAATGCTCAAAACAAACAAGTGTAAAGAAAAAGGCATGCAGTGTTTTGTACATAGAGTGTAGAAGCTGAGATTTGAAGGCTAAAATGTGGAGTGTTAGTCAAGGGAAGAGGAGGTGAGAGAAGCCCATTCCTGGCAAAGGCAGAAAGACCTGTGAAGGCCTGAGGGCAGTGGAGGGTATGGAGGTATGGAGGGCTCAGAGCTGGGAGGTCCAGTGGGCTGCAGGAGAGAGCCAGCCAAAGGGGAAGTGACGCTCAACAGCACAGGCTGCACCCGGCCTTGCAGACCAGGTTAGGGACTCAGGGGTCTGCTCTAAGTGCAGTGGAAAGCTTCTAAAATATTTTAGCATGGAACAATACAATCAGATCTGTGTAATTAATTACACTTTCTAGAACCTTACTTTTATCGGCAGCAGATAATAGTTTTCCTCAAAGAAGACCTCAATAAATTGTTCTCCCTACACAGCTCATTACACAGTAGACACTATAAGTCTGAAATAAACAACAAAGAATTGTTACCTGCGTGTTTTGGCAAAAACTGAATTCTAGGACCCAAAACATGAACAGGAAGTTACATTGCGCCAGGAATGTTCCCACCCATTCCTACAAAGCAAAAGATTTATTCCTTTTGTTGTATGATACCAGGAAATGGCCTTATTTTTTTAACCTCAGTTTACTGTCTTGAAATGGAGACCAGCGTGTCCCCAGAACTCATAACCGCTATCATCCCACTAGATAGAGTATTAGGTTCAAGGACATTGGATTCCAGGTAAAATTCAAAGAGACTTCGGCCCATTTCCTGCCCAGAACAGCATTTTAGTATAAGATCCAACCTTTGGCCTCACTCAGTTCCTTCTGGCCCTTCTAGGGATGCTAAAGCTGCGGTGGTAACTGGCACAGAGCTGAAGGACATGAGCCCAGAACAGCTGGATGAGCTCTTAACCAACTACTCAGAGATTGTCTTTGCTCGAACATCCCCCCAGCAGAAGCTGATCATTGTAGAGGGCTGTCAAAGGCAGGTGGGTGGACAGCAGTTCCCAAAGAATCTTCCAGGTCTGTCACTGTCCTGTGGGGAAATTTGGGGCTAAGATCTGGATCCCAGATCAGGGCTATGGCACTTTTTAAACCCTTCAAGAAACAATTCTTTGCCCGTTTTTATCACCTTACATTTCTACCCTCTCAGGGGGCTGACCCTCCACCCTTCTTTGAGACCCTCCTGCATGCACAGCTTTCTGACAGTGAAGCATTTGGTGCTGTGGTAGGTGTGATTATAGAGAGATTTTAAAGTGTAAGATATACACATGCACCCCAATGTTTCTAGCAACACTATCAACAACAGCCAAAGTATGGAAAGAGCCCAAATGTCCATCGCTGGATGAATGGATAAAGAAGATGTGGTATTTATATACAATGGAGTATTACTCAGCAATCAAAAAGAATGGAATCTTGCCATTTGCAGCTACGTGGATGGAACTAGAGGGTATTATGCTAAGTGAAATTAGTCAGAGAAAGACAAATATCATAGACTTCACTCATATGAGGACTTTAAGACACAGAACAGATGAACACAAGGGAAGGGAAGCAAAAATAATATAAAAACAGGGAGGGGGACAAAACATAAGAGACTCTTAAATATGGAGAACAAACAGAAGGTAACTGGAGGGTTTGTGGGAGGGGGATGGGCTAAATGGGTGAGGGGCATTAAGGAATCTACTCCTGAAATCATTGTTGCACTATATGCTAACTAAGTTGGATGTAAATTTAAAAAATAAAATTAAAATTAAAAAAAATAGGGGCGCCTGGGTGGCGCAGTCGGTTAAGTGTCCGACTTCAGCCAGGTCACGATCTCGCGGTTCGTGAGTTCGAGCCCCACGTCGGGCTCTGGGCTGATGGCTCAGAGCCTGGAGCCTGTTTCTGATTCTGTGTCTCCCTCTCTCTCTGCTCCTCACCCGTTCATGCTCTGTCTCTCTCTGTCCCAAAAAATAAATAAATGTTGAAAAAAAAATTTAAAAAAAAAATAAATAAATAAAAATAAAAGTGTAAGATATAGAGCAAAAACTGTAAAGACACAAGATATGAAATATCCACTTTAGCCTGCCACACACATGGTTTTAATTATCGAGCATGTTGTTCTTGCTCCAGGATTTCCCGGCTTTATCTTTTCCCAAAAACAAGCCCTTCATTTCAGCTCCAGTCATCCTTATATCCTCCAGAGGAAGGGGAGACTGTGTTGATCTTGTCCTACCCGTGACCCCTTAGGCCTGCTGTCTCCTGTTTTCTCATGTGTCCCCACAGAATGCGGTTGTTGCTGTGACAGGGGATGGAGTTAATGACTCTCCGGCTCTAAAGAAGGCAGATATTGGGATTGCCATGGGGATAGCAGGTTCCGATGCGGCCAAAAATGCAGCTGACATGGTCTTGTTGGATGACAACTTTGCATCCATAGTCACAGGAGTGGAGGAAGGTGAGTGAGGTCTCAGGTGATCTTACTGAGACAGGGGTCACCTGGGGGTCCAAGAGCAAATCCTATAGAAGAACATCTTTGCCTAGGTCGCCTGATCTTCGACAACCTAAAGAAGACTATCGCCTATACCCTGACCAAGAACATTGCTGAGCTGTGCCCCTTTCTGATCTACATCATTGTTGGGCTCCCTCTGCCTATTGGCACCATTACGATCTTGTTCATCGACTTGGGCACAGACATAGTAAGTAGCACTAAAGGGAACAGGATCTGATAACTAATGTAAACTTCAGGGTCATTACCTTCAAGGGCAAGGAGACGGACGAAATCAGTTCTCCTCGAACTTCGATGTAACAGGGCCTGAATTTCTGCATTTCTAGTAATTCTTACGTGATACCGATTCTGCTGGTCCACCAGCCACATCTTAAAGCAAAGTACTAGAGGGGCACCTGGGTGGATCAGTCGGTTAAGCGTCCGACTTCAGCTCAGGTCACAATCTCACAGTCCGTGAGTTCGAGCCCCACGTCGGGCTCTGGGCTGATGGCTCAGAGCCTGGAGCCTACTTCCGATTCTGTGTCTCCCTCTCTCTCTGCCCCTCCCCCGTTCATGCTCTGTCTCTCTCTGTCTCAAAAATAAATAAACGTTAAAAAAAAAATTTTAAAAAAAAAGCAAAGTACTAGAGAGATCTGTCAAATGTTTGGAAGTTAAAACCACTTCACCTCGTGTAAGAGCTTTTCAAGACATGAGTTCTTCACCCTCCCCCCAAGATATGCGATTCATTGGTTTCAGCTCATGTGCCTCCCTCCCCTTTGGAGAAGAAAGCACTATCACTAAATAGCCCCTGTAACACTGCGGGCCCAATGGCCACCGTGATAACCCACCCCTGCCCCTTGTTAAGTAAAAGAATCTGTGGTCTGGAAGCCCCTCACCTAAACACAGTAAGAACTAGCAGTTATTAATACTTTATCAGGCCTCATATTGACCTACAATAACATCACCTAAACCCTCCCTTCTTCTAGTATGTATCCATTTAAGAAAGCATCATGACAGTTATCCACATGGCTCCAGCTTACACAGGCAAAGGGAGGAAAAGGCAATAGGGAGCGAACAGAATTCGCAGTGAGAATGGCCCTGCAAATGGCCGGCTTCTACCCTCTTGTTTTATGTAATACCCAGGCAATCTCCACATTGCAGAGACACTAAAGCCATCTTTACCTTAGAGGGGAATTGGGGTCCTTCATGGTTTACAGTCAGATCACTTTGCAGGCTCTTTCAGTTTGCTTCGTTTTCTCCACTGCAGTGCTTCTTGCAGTGTGGTCAGGGCATCACCTGGGAACTTGTTAGAAATGCAGATTCTCTGGCCTTGGGAAAGTCTGGGGGTGGGGGGTGGGGCCCAGCGATCTGTCCCTAAAAGTCCTTCCAGGTGGGAGGGCCTGTGAGAGAACCAGTGTGACCTAGTGGCATGCCGAAGGGGGAGAGGATGGCAGGAAAAATCTGCCCCAGAGGGGAAAAGTGTTTTATAATTAGCATCTTTAGAACTGCCAGCACATGTTGATAATAAAAAGTAGATTGATTTTTAAAGCCAACTATTTTTTTTAATGTTTATTTATTTTTGAGAGAGAGTGAGAGAGCCAAAGTGTGAGCTGGGGAGGGGCAGAGAAAGAGGGAGACACAGAATCCAAAGCAGGCTCCAGGCTCCGAGCTGTCAGCACAGAGCCCAACATGGGGCTCAAACCCACAAACAGTGAGATCATGACTTGAGTTGAAGTCAGAAGCTTAACTGACTGAGCCGCCCAGGCGCCCCCCCCCACTCTTTTCAATTTCTTCTTCTTTTTTTTTAATGTTTATTTCTGAGAGAGAGGGACAGAACGCGAGCAGGGGAGGGGCAGAGAGAGAGAGACACACAGAATCCAAAGCAGGCCCTAGGCTCCAAGCTGTCAGCACAGAGCCCCACGTGGGGCTTGAACTCATGAACCACGAGATCATGACCTGAGCCAAAGTTGGACACTTAATCGACTGAGCCACTTAGGTGCCCCTAAAGCCAACTGTTTTTAAATTCTCTAGAAACAATCCACCCCCATTGTCTACACCCTGGATAGACCAGTTCCATAACCCCGTAACCCCACCACCATTATCATCCACCACCCCACCACCTACCCTGAGGCCCCTGGCTATGCCACTGCCACTGTCACTCTGTTGGTACCGCACAGTGTTTCAGGGCTAGGCCTCACAGACTCTCTCCCCATCTAGATTCCCTCTATTGCCTTGGCTTATGAGAAAGCTGAAAGTGACATTATGAACAGGAAGCCTCGCCATAAGAAGAAGGACAGACTGGTGAACCAGCAACTTGCCATATACTCTTACCTGCACATTGGTACGATGAGAGCACCTCTCACCTGTCATACGAGGGACCTCCCAGAGAATGCATTCCAGTCACAGGCAGAAACTGTTTTTCCATCTGGGGTGGGGTTGGGATGAGAGGAGAAACCAAGAGGAGAATGAGTGCACACGCAATTCTGAAGTCATTCTAGAACCTCTACCCTTACCTCTTTTGTGCTTTTAGGTCTCATGCAAGCTGTGGGAGCTTTTGTTGTGTATTTCACCGTGTATGCGCAGGAGGGCTTTAAACCCAGCATTCTTGCTGACCTCCGGGTAGAATGGGAAAACGGCAATGTGAATGACTTAGAAGACAGCTACGGACAGCAATGGGTAAGGGAAGGAGACTCTCCCTTCAACGTCCTCCTGTTTCTCCCCTCCTCTCACGGCCTTGTCCAGACTCATGCAGAACTTTCAATTCCCTGGACAGCCTTAATGAGACAGAGAAAGTAAAAGTTTTCTCAGTTAATAGGGCTTGTGGGCCCCTTGGTTACATTGGTTTGGCCTTTGCCAGGACTCAGCCTTCTCTCTTGAATCACATGCCTTGAGGTCACTTTTCTTACTTTGGCTTTGCAATTGTTTTGGAGGAGTAACCAGTCCAACAACACCCACAGTTGGGCCATGTCAATTAAGTTAGCATCTTTCCCTACTCAACTGGTTAAAGAAAATAAAGTTTCTTTCCAAGCACAAGGAGATGATCCTTTGTCAATCGTGGTGAGGTGGGGAGAAAGTAAAGCTTTATAGAACTGCATGGAAATCTCCTTCAAGTTTTCCATCTGGGGTCTCACGGTCTCCTCTTTGTCCATTGACAGACATGGTACCAGAGGAAATACTTAGAATGGACAGGCTACACAGCTTTCTTTGTTGGCATCATGGTCCAGCAGATAGCGGATGTGCTCATCAGGAAAACCAGAAGGAACTCCATCTTCCAGCAGGGCCTCTTTAGGTACTGCCCACATCCAGCCTTATAGTTCAGCCCTGGGCCTTCGACACAGGAATGATGAGGGTCATGCCTGTGACTCCACCGGTGTGTGGCCCTGTGGCCACGTGAATTCAGAATCTGTTTGCTTTTATGTTTCTTGTAGAAATAAAGTCATCTGGCTGGGGATTGCCTCACAGATTATCATTGCTTTAATCCTCTCCTATGGGCTTGGAAGTGTCACAGCCCTGAATTTCACGATGCTCCGGTGAGTTTCTCTTCAACAGTGGGCAGGAAAGAGCCAGCCCTGTTATTATTTTTTTTAATGTTTATGTATTTTTGAAAGAGAGAAAGAGTGAGTGTGGAGGGGCAGAGAAAGAGGGAGAAGGGGATCTGAAGCGGGCTCCTGCTGATGGCAGAAAGTCCAATGTGGGGCTTGAACTCACGAACCGTGAGATCATGACCTGAGCCGAAATCGGACGCTTAACTGACTGAGCCAGCCAGGCACTCCAGAGATAGCCATATTCTGAGCTGTCACAGCCTAAGTGAACATTAGGATTCCAGGGAACTCTTTCCTCTCCAGGCTTTCAAAAGAGGTAAGACTGAATCTGTACTATATTAGAGACTTAGACCTGCTAGTTTTCCCAGAAGAGGAAATGGGTTTCACCATCCCAGCTCTACCCTCATCTAATAGGACACTTCATAGGCAGATGTTGCTTCTACCAGTCACAGTCTGGTAAAATAAGAAGCTTCGCAGTTTTACACTATATGACCCAATATTGTTCTGTCCAGTAAGGCAGAGAAAATGAACAAGAAGCCCTCTGCCCATGGGCAGGAAGCTGGGCCTTTTCTTTGGATGCACTCAGACTGACTTTCCTCCCTCCTGCTTCCAGGCCTCAGTACTGGTTTGTGGCTGTGCCATATGCCATTCTGATTTGGGTGTATGATGAGGTCCGAAAACTTTTCATCAGACTCTACCCTGGAAGTAAGTAGTAACATAATTTTTGAGACTCTGTTTATCCACTTCAACAGACTCCCCATTTCTCATTAACTTTTTCTACCTCCACAGGCTGGTGGGACAAGAACATGTATTACTAAGACCACCTCACTTCCCAAGATTCCCAGTTGCACATTGAGCCTGTTCTTTATCTTCTGGCTGCTGTCTGGGAGACCACTGCAATAAGGACTTATCCAAATGCAGAAAGAGAAGGCAGAAAGCAGTATGAAAGATACTCACTGAGGTTTTGTACTTTCAAGCAGAAATTCAACTGTTTATATATGATTTGCATCTCTATTTCCGTCTCCTTGTTTAGAAATATGTGAATTTCAAGGGAATGGAGTAGGGAAGAATGACATGTAAGTGTATATAAAGTCCACTCATGTTAAATTGCCTTAGGTGATGCAGCCAGCTGCTCAGATTTCCCTGCTAGATAGAATTGGTCAAACCTCCATTCCATACCCTATTAAAAGCCCAGTGACCTTCCTAGATTTCTCTGAATTCCCAGAGAGCTTATAATTTCATGGTCACCCTGCTCAAAAGTTAATTCGGCTGAAGAGTTGCAAAAGGTGGAAGTAATGGCAGGTTTACATCACAGTAACATGGACAACCTCAGTTTTGACCCTGAGACATCTTTCTTAACAGTCAACCACCCATCTGCAGCCCTCATCATCTGGCCAGTCCTGTCGGTGCCCTTCCTCCCTCATTGCCTTCCACTCCCGAGACTGACCCACCAACTCCTCCCAAACTGAGCTCCGTGTCCGTTTTGCATATCCCAGTCCAAATGCTCTCTCGACTCAAAGGAGTTTTCAGTTATCAGGATTCAACCTCAGTAGAGAAGAACTGGGGTTTAAAACAGTAATATTTATTTCTCATAAAATGGTTGCAAAGCACTCTCTGGCATTAATTTTATGTCATGATTTAACTTCGCTTTATTCGTGTGTTAACACATACATCCATGTTGACAGCCCCTAAGAGGCTTCATTTTAAGTAAAAGATGTTTTATAAAACCCGGTCTCATTGTGGTATTTTAATTAATTTGGGTTTTTCTAGAATGCAGAACATAGGGCACCAAAAAATGAGATGTGAGGGGCATCTGGGTGGCTCAGTTGGTTGAGTGTCCGACTTCAGCTCAGGTCATGATCTCGTGGTCTGTAACTTCCAGCCCCACATCGGGCTCTGTGCTGACAGCTCAGAGCCTGGAGCCTGCTTCAGATTCTGTGTCTCCCTCTCTCTCTGCCCCTCCCCTGCTCATGCTCTGTCTCTCTCTTTCTGTCATAAATAAAAAAAAACATTTAAAAAAATGAGATGTAATTTCAATTTTTTTTTCTTCTTTCAGTCATTTTACTTTTCTATGGCAGGTCTAAAATATAGGGTTTACCTTCTGAACTCCCCTCTCCAATATCCCCGTTCTATATTCCAAGTCAGGATTTCTGGGGGAGGATACACCTTTCATCACTGGCCCTAGGGAAAGCAATTTTCGTAGCACTGACTTGACAGAACCTGAAAATTGCATGTGGTTAAACTTTCCCATTCCCAGCCTACCCCATCACCTCTCCTCCATTGCTCATTTAAACAAGGAAATTCTGCTGCTGATGGCTCTAGGCTGGTGTCTCTGGAACAGGAAGAAGGGGACACAGAGCCATAGTACTCTGTCATTTTCTCAGGGGTCACATTGAGAAGCATAAAAGAGGTCAGGGGCCATCATTGTAGCTTTATGTAAATAGCTTATAATATACAATGTGTATTATGTGTGTATATGTAAGTGAAAATCGTATTGCTGTCCTCAAGGTCTTTCATCTGTATTTTTAGCCCCAATTATCACTGGGTTAATCTCACATCAGTAGTAGCAGTGAACTGGAAACCCTTCCAGGCAGCGACATCATGACCTTCTCATTCCAGTCTTGACAAGGCAGCTAATGCTTTCTAAACTTCAACTAAGAATAATTTGTCCTCACTCTGTTTCCTGCCAGGCTGTCTGAGTGCTCCTGGATGTGAAGGTTGGTAGCTCTTGGTCCCGCCAGAGCCAGCCAGGGAAGCTATAAATACAACACAACGCTCTAAGGGGTTTCACTTGACTTTGAAGTAAGTTTGAAAGGAGTAACATATGAAGTAGATGTCTCTTCACAGCAGGAGTCCTATCTAGAATTACTTTCATATTGTACATACACTACTCTTGCAAAAAGTTGACACTCAAATATTTGTAAAATGAACACATAACTAAGGAATTCCAGAAATGAGAGTCATAGATCAAATAGCTTTCTTAAGTGGTAGACAGAATAAGGCAATAAAATCCCATATCAGAGGTTATTTTTGTTTGTTTGTTGGAGGGACTATTTCATTGACCCACTAAGGTAGGCCTAGATACATTTTAGAAAAAATAGCAGAGTTAATTTTAATTGGTGTGGCACATTCACAGCAACTCAGACAGATAAAAATGAGGCCAGATTTATTGAGTCTTTATTTTTTTAATCTATGTTTTATTCAGATTATAAAATTGCAGCTCATTTTAGAAAACTCTAATATCCAAGAGTAAAAAGAAAATTAAAATCATCCTGAATCTAACTACCTAGTAACATATAACATAGTAGTTATTTCCTTGGGGTTTTTCTATACATATATATTTTCAGGCAAAATTGAAATACAAAGTTTTCCATTCTGCCTTTTTACTCACCATTGAAGATGTGGGGGTTTTTTGGTCTTTTTTTTATGTTTACTTTTGAGGGAAAGAGAGACAGAGAGAGAGGAGGGGCCGAGAGAGGGGGCAGACAGAGGATCTGAAGTGGGCTTTGTTCTTACAGCAGGCAGCCTGATGTGGGGCAAGAACTCATGAACCACAAGATCATGATCTGAGCTGAAGTTGGACACTTAACCAACTGAGTCACCCAGGCGCCCCTGAAGACATGTTTTTTAATAATGTGCAATATTCCATACTGAGAGTACTTTAATCACATCCCCATTGTTGGTTGATTTATTTCAAACTATTCATCTTTAACAACAACAAAAAAAAGGCTGTATCTTGTCATTAAATCTTGTACTACATCTCTGATTATTTTATATTTTTAATTTTTTTTAATGTTTATTTATTTTTGAAAGAGAGAGACACAGAGCACAAGCAGGGGTGGGGCAGGGAGAGAGGGAGACACAGAATCTGAAGCAGGCTCCAGGCTCTGAGCTGTCAGCACAGAGCCCGATGCAGGGCTTGAACCCACAAGCCATGAGATCATGACCTGAACCAAAGTCAGACACTTAACTGACTGAGCCATCTAGGCGCCCCTCTCTGATTATTTTATAATTGATTTCTATGGAATGGAGTGGAAACAAAATGGAGCATTTTAAAGGCCCTTGATACACATTACCAAGTTTCTTTTCAGATAAGCTGTCTCAATTTACATTCCTGTCAGCAATAATAAAGTGAATATTTATTTTGCCTGTCATTAGACATGAAAGATTTATCAACTCTAAGAGATTTTTATTTATTCACCAAAGATGTAGATTGCCCACTGTGCAGTCTGAGCATACAGCAGGGAACAAGACAGAATCATGGAGCTGGTACTCCAATGGAGTGGCAGAAAAAATATAATTGCAAAAGGGTTTGAAAAGACATAATGAGGCTTAGAGAGTAAACTATAGGATGGGGAGGTGTGGTAAGCCTACTTTAAGTGGGGTGGTCAGGAAAGTCCTTTTTCTTTTAATTTTTTAAAATGTTTTATTTATTTTTGAGAGAGAGACAGAGTGCAAGCTGGGGACGGGCAGAGAGAGAGGAGGACACAGAATCCGAAGCGGGCTCCAGGCTCCAAGCCGTCAGCACAGAGCCTGACGCGGGGCTCAAACCCACAAACCGTGAGATTATGACCTGAGCTGAAGTCGGACACTCAACCGACTGAGCCACCCAGGTGCCCCAGGAAAGTCCTTTTTGAGGAGGTAAGTGACCTGAGCTGAAGTCAGACACTCAACCGACTGAGCCACCCAGGCACCCCAGGAAAGTCCTTTCTGAGGAGGTAAGTGACAAGGAGCAGCCACTGTCAAGAACAGAGAGAAGAGAATTCCAGAAGAGGGGACACAGTGAGGTGTGGACAGCAGGGACATGAACAGCAGGTGGCAGGAATATGGACAGCAACAGGAATTAACAGAATTAACAGCCTGGTTAATCAGGCAGTTGGAGAAACAGGCAAGAATCTGTTCACATAGGGTCTCATAGTCCTTATGAAGGAGGTTGGATTTCATTACAAATACAATGTCACACTATTAAAGTTTATTAATAAAGGCAGTGATTTGCTCCAGTTTACATGTTACAATCACATGGGCTTCTACATAGAGGACAGGAGGGGGGCCAGGAAAGAATGGATGTAAGGAGGTGAGTTAGGCAAGTAAAGCTATGATTTAGACTATGCAGGTGGTAACAGGTATGAGAACAGTGTGTGAAGTGCACTTGGCTCTTGTGTGTGTGTGTGCCTTTAACTATATAAACACTTCCATGGAAGAATTTTGTAAGGGAAGTTACCTGTAGATGATCCAAATCAGGCCACTAGAAAGGTCACCAACTTCCCTGACTCCATGATCATCAAGATGAGAGAAAGAAAAAATATTGAGGCAAGGATCTTCCTCCTAGGAGACTTCTTAAATAGATAGAACTAGATATACATCTAAATGTACATATGCTAGTTGCTCCTGACTCTACATTTATAAAGAGCATAAGGTCTCCACATTCATTCATTCTGCCATCATCATTCCACCTGTGGAGTTTAATGTCTCCCAAACAGAACAGTAAAAATAGCTAATATTTATTAAATACCCTATTACATCCTGGGCACTGTGACACCTTCCTAAAAGCATTGTCTCATTAATGCTTACAACAACTGGACCAGTTAGTAGTGTCAACCTTGCATTACAAATAAGGAAACGGAGACTCAGGTGAAGTAACTTGCCCAGTGCTGTGGATTTCTTCTGCTCCACTAAGTGCTCAATTTTAGAATCTGTGAAATGATGTAGGGAGAATTTGTGCTTCCATGGAAAACTACCTGCTTGTCTAGATCACACCCTTCAGGTGTTATTTAAAGTTATCAAGAACTGACAGCAATTCAAAATATTCCTTGTCTAT